CTCTCTCTCTCTCTCTGTCGCTCTCTCTCTCTCTCTCTCTCTCTCTCTCTCTCTCTCATCCCTTTATTCTTTCTCTTCCTTGGTGCCGGTACAGCTCTCCGGGCCATCCGGTTCACACTTCTTCTCCTTGTGGCTTTCCTCATGGCGCTCACCGCTGCTGCAGACACACTTCCCGGGTCATTTCCTCTCCTGCGCTGATACATTATATTTTTATTTTATTTCTTTTTTTCGCCAAAATGTGGATGTCCAGCTGTCTGTGCGGTGCTCTCGGGAGGCTTCGTGAATCGGCGACCGCAGGGAAGGCGAAACAGCTCAGATAAGTAACCGGGTGCTATGGTGGGACCTCCTGGAAGGGCAAGAGTTCGGCTTTTCCGAAATTTCAGCAGTTTGCACAGAGGTGAGCCACACGGAGGTTTAATTCTTTCAAAAGAATGTGTATGTCTGAGCTACCATTGATGGCATTAATTGGAGGGGGGGGGGTGCGAATGTCATTTCTGTTGGTGTGTATGCTTTCTATCCACTTTCTACCTTGTATTTTAAACTTGGTTTGGTTATAATCACGGGTTAAGCCTGAGTCTCACTTTGGACTCTTATTCTAGGATCCAGATCCAACCTGTCCCCGCAGTTGTTTGTTCTGGTTTAATAAAGAAAGTGCCGAGAAAAATTCGGCTATGTAGTCATTGATTAATGATTAATATATAATAAATAGTGTCACTTGTTAAAAAAAAGCCCACAAATAAAGTTTAAAGTTATTATTCATCTTAATTTCAAATAATTTAACACATCAAATGTCACAGACATGACTTTATGTCAGAGCTGAAGAATAAAATAACATAAGAGGGATTTTTTAGTAGCTGAGTGACGTCGCAGCTCGGTTCCTGACGTAGCCCTGTGTCCTGTGAGTGTCCCAGGAGAAGATAGACAGGCTATAATTAACTAAGGCAGACTTGAGCCAGGGGAGACGAAGCCTAATGCCACTACTGGGATTTGTGGAACTCCATTACACAATAAGATAAAGGTCCCGCAGTCATAGGACTTCTAATGGCAACATAAGCCTTTATGGTCCTGGAGAAGAAAGGCTTCCAAGGAAGAAAAAAATGCAGTTTAGATTCCACATATTCTCTGACAGTGGATTAAAATTCCAAATTTGTATTTATTACATAAGAAAAGATTTGCAGTTTCATTATTTAGGGATTTAATGAGAGGATTCTTTCTAATTAAAAATACCAAACTTCCTTGGGTTTATTGCAATGTATCACATCTCCAATATATAGGCTACTCTGTAACACTGTGTTGGGTCTGCTACTCACTGAATCTCAATTATATGGTTTCTGGCTAATATGTACAGTCAGTGTATACAGAAATAATCTAACTGTATTTTATGTTCAAGCTTAGACAGATTTATTACCTCTGAATAATCTGACTCTTAAGTGGAGTATAAAAAATTGCCATGTGTATTGATATTTGAGTAGATTAGTAGATCTGACCCCTAGCTCTGCCTCTTCTAAGGGTTCAGTTGTCACAACCATGTTAACCTGCAAACCGGACTCTGAGGCAAAAATGAGCTGCTGGGTCCCCTACTGACCCCGTTAACCAGGTTGCCAAAACTTTTTCCCTTGCAGGGCCAAAACTGAACCTTAATGGTGGGCCACGTGCCAAAAGCAGAAACCTATTGTACTGTATTGATAAGATGCAAAATAGTTCCCTTGATTGGCTGACTTCCTGCGCAAAGTATCACTCTGCCCACCATGTTCAGATTATGAAAAATAATGAATAATTAAGGTCCTACATATTTCTTGCTAGAAACGTCTGGCAAGCCTTATCGGACCATGCCCTTAAGAAATGGAAAAAAGAAAGTGTCCCTAAAGCTGCAGGCTCACTGTTTGCGCTAATTTAATTGAACATGTGTTTGGAAATATGCAGTCCTAAAGAACAATGTTAAGTGATCAGACCCTGCTGCATTATCTGACCTTGAGGCCCTGTCATGGAAAAAAATCAAGTTGCTTCATTGTTTCAGTTTTGTACTTATATGTTGCATAACATAGTTAATGTACTGGAAAACGAGGCTGTGCTTCAACAATCTCAGTGGAATGCTAAACCCAAAATTCCAATAATATGAAAAGGTAGCATGTTCAAGTCCAGAAAATTTTTCTTATTTATTTGGCTCACATTATCATTGGAAAATACTGACATGTTTTGCACAGCTTCTGTGTTCAAACACTCTGCTGACTTTAAAATGTGAGCGGTACTACCTTTTTTGTATAGTTTATAGTAAATGTATAGCAGCACACTGGAAGGAGAGGGTTGAATGTTTCTTGTGTTGGTGGTGTGATCCACCACTTCTCATGTTGAAGTTAAGTTTCTATGGACAAAATGAATTGGTAACACTTTATAATAAGGGTACAAATCATTCACTTAAGTAATACTTAACTAATGCATGACTCATGATAATTCAATGCATGAATTAATTCATGTTGCTCATAACTTGTGATTGGTTCGCACTTAAGAGCTCATCAGTTGAGGAATGTTAAGTTACAGTTACTTCATAAATTTTTCGAGACCTTGCATTTTCTCAGCCTTAAAAAAATGAAAAACCCTAACCCTACCCCCATTGTGTTTGTGTCTTAAACATGTCTGATCATTCTCCTCAGATTTGTCCATTATGTGTCAAAAAATACCGTTGGGTATATTCTCCTAGAAATAGGAAGCTATTTGTTGAGAATGGCTGAGCAAATGCATGGTTCTGAAATAAACTTTTATGTAACTGGAATCCTGCTTGTTTGGTCACATATCAATTCATGTATGAATTACCATTACTTAACAGATGATCTGTTAAAGCAGCAGTAGGTAACTTTTATAAAAATAACTTTTTGTCACATTTGCTGAAACTTTCACTATATCCTGACAGGGGCCCAGCAGCTTATCTATTGCCCCTTAACAAATTCATCTGGCCATGATGACACAGGGAGGTTTTTTTTTTTTTACTGTCATTGTATAACTTATGGTCTTTACAGATGTTGATAGTAGTCACTGAAGAGGCTCTAAAGGTCGTTTCAGAATTGTATAACTGTACTGTGTCTTGTTTTTCCAGCCATGGATCAAACTAGGAGTATAGTGGTCTGAACACAGCCAGGTGAGCTTGGTGGGCAAGCCTTCCCTTTCAACCACCACCATCATCTCTCTGAGCTTCACAAGCTCCGGACACTCATACACACACACAAACCACTACAACCTCTGACCGAGGAGAGCCACCCCCACAGTGAGACAGCAGCACGCATTGCAAACATGACAGACAGAGTGAGCTTCAGCACACCCAAAGTCAACCCCCGGCCCGTCGCAGGCCCCGTGCTCCCCCCAGAGCCCATCGACATTATCCGCATCAAGGCCCGCTCACGGCGGGTCAGGCTCAATGTCGGAGGTCTCACGCATGAAGTCCTGTGGAGAACGCTGGACCGGCTGCCCAGAACCCGTCTAGGACGGCTAAGAGACTGCAACACCCATGAGTCGCTGCTGGAGATCTGCGACGACTACAGCCTCACTGACAATGAGTACTTCTTTGACCGGCACCCAGTGGCCTTCTCCTCTATTCTCAACTTCTACCGAACGGGGAAGCTGCACATGATGGAGGAGATGTGTGCCCTGTCCTTTGGCCAGGAGCTGGACTACTGGGGGATCGACGAGATCTACCTGGAGTCATGCTGCCAGGCGCGGTACCACCAGAAGAAGGAGCAGATGAATGAGGAGCTGAGGAGGGAGGCAGAGACGCTCAGGGAGAAGGACGGTGAAGTGGAGGAGCACGGCTGCTGTCCCGACAAGAGACAGAAGCTCTGGGATCTGCTGGAGAAGCCCAGCTCATCTGTCGCTGCAAAGGTAACAACAGCTGCACGCACTGTAACACAAATTTTAAAAAGAATGCTGTTAAAATGGTAGGAAAGACAGTAAGTGGCCCTGGATAGGTTGGAAACATGTTCTGTTTCATGGTAAAGTCAATTTGTTGTTCATGAGGTCACTGTTTTTTAGTAGTAGTAGAAAGGAGACACAAAACAAAGCTCAACTCTAACCAGTGAACATGAATTGACTGTACATGGTCAGACATCCTGAACCACTAGGCCACCAAGACCTGACTGTTATTCTGTTATTAAAGGTCGATTTCAAAAGTTGTCACAAATACAGAATGTTAAGTATTCTATTTCATGCTTCAGGGTTCTGTTTAATTGAGTGTGAGAAAATGTGAGAAAGATTGATTGTGAGATTAGGAAATCGATTTACAGTACCATGCATTTGGTCTGGATTCTGCACACCTGCTCACCTGTCCTTGCAGCTGGTGGACAAGCATGTATAATGAGAATCTTTGATTTCAACCAGGAAGTTGCATAAAAAATATTTGTGACGGGGATCTAAGGTCCATCCACAGAGTAAAACTGAGCCAGAATGTGATTCCTACAATAGTACAGTGCTTACACAGAGGTGTTAGTACTTTCTTGAATGTTTCCATTTTAGTCACTAAACTGTGATCTGATAAAATGTGATACATCATTACAGATTAAACAACAAAATCACCACTTCGATCATATACTACTTTAAATGTTCTGTGTGTAGGATTTAGGGGCCTTTAGCAGGGTAGTTGAAGATTACAACCTAGAGCCAGTGTTTGGTCTGTCCATTCTGGGCTACTATAGAAACATGCTGGTTTCACATTAATTTATCAACAACAATGCCAACAACAATAATTGAATAATATAAAGTCATAGGCTAGTTATATAACACTTTGAAAGGGTCCGTTCATTTACTTTTGATATTTTTAATACATTTTGCTCATCAAACTTCTGTGCTTTCACAAAGTAAACCTTTGTAAACGCTTCACCATCCGTCACTTGGAAAAAAGAAAACAGTGGCAGGAATACTTAGGGTCCCTAATCATAACTGTGACTGAATTAACTGCACGTCAAAGTTTAGTACAACACAGAGTCATCATTTCCAACCAATAAAACAATAAAAAAAATTAAAAAAA